TTAGGGTTGCTCTGACTCCCTTCCTATTCTACTGATGTTTCTTTTCTTGTAGTTGGGATAGGATGGCTAACACAGAGAACTGTTATGCTCCGAAACAGATCCTGTAGCAGAGGCCAAATCAATACCACCTCCAGCATGTTCCATCTGGGCAGCTGAATTTGTCAAGTGTTTGGTGAAGCCATTTCAACCATGGTAACATCTTGTAACCTGGCTCCAATGGTCTTTGCTTTGATCACGTGTAAGCAACTCGACTTTGTTCTAAATAGCAGTCCCAGATCTCTGTCTTGTCTGGCTCTATTTCCCCTTTTGCCCTGAGTCTATGCCATCATATATTCTCAGATCAGTTTATATTCTCAATTTTTTTTTTATTCTTTTTTATTTCTGAAGTCACCATCTTTCTGACAAGAAATGTGTGACTTGGTACAGTGAGCTACTATGAGCCTCTAGCATCACTGTAACATTCAAATCTGTGTTAAGCATGGAATAAGAAATATTGAACCGGGATATTCAAATGAGAGGTGGACTGTGAACAATGGGGAACATTCAGAGGTAGGATGACAGTGATAGCAGTGAATAAATGCTATTTTAGTGGGGAAGTATCTTACCAGGAAAATAGCTACAGTTAGGAGAGGAACCATAAAGAATAATTCATACAATCTAACATTCTGTATAAGCCATTAGCAGAAATAATAGGTTTAAAGAATTATTTTTATATAATCAATTTTCTGCATAGGCTTTAATTATATAAGTGAACAGAAAAAGATATTTAAAAAATAGATTTGTGGTAACAGACCATATGAACCGCAACAAAAGACTACTCCTTTGCTTAGTGATTTCATTCAAATACTGGTGGCTATTTGCTCTAAAAGACTCTGGGGCCCTTCCCAGCCCTAAGAGGTAAACCTTTACTAGTCTAAGCACCAACTAGTGTGACCTCACTTCCTTTGCCAGATATTATTTAGAAATAAGCACATAAAACAATTCTGGTGGATGAAGGTAACCCCCTGGGTCTTATGATAGGACACAAGGAAAAGGCAGTCCCTTTTTCTACATTTGAACAATTTCAGCTACACAATATTCCAAAGAGACAGTCATCTTTGATTAGCTTCCCTCATAAGGCCAAGAGGACAATCAACAGGCTGAATTCAGCAGAGTATAAACACAGAACAAAGCTAGATCCTTGAAGATATAATTGAGCTATGAAGTTAATTTTCAACTACATTACCTCGGGATTTTTGGTCATGTCAGAAAATTTTTTCTTCTGTTCAAGCTACTTCTAGTTAGGTATTCTGTTACTCTATACAGCATCCAACCCTCTATAAGGAGGCTAGGTAAGAAAACTTACAATAACTTATATAGATAAGAAAATTTTCTGTACAACTAGACTGTTTTTAACATCCAAAAGAAAGTCAATTTGTTCAAATTGTGCCCTTCTGTACCATCAGTGTCAGAGGGTGTGAAATAACAGTGCTCCTAAAAACTACACAGCTACAACTCTGCATGATGGGTTCTATGGACAGCAGTGGATGGGTGGAAATGCTACACCCTCAGCTTGACACTAAGAAAAAGAAAGAATAAGGACAAAGTAGGAGCATACCCCAGATACAATTCTCATTTATGATTTTCAAAAAAGAATACAAACTACTTTTTATGGCATAGCTTTTCATAGTATATTCTTTGGGTATATTAAGGTGCACTGATTTAAAAAAAGGGCATCCCAGCAGGGATATATCCTGGAGAATACCTAATAATTCACTTTAAAGAAGGATGCATGGCTAAAATGTTTCAAAAATAGTAAAGCAAATGCTGTATTACTTAAAATACTTCAGACTTAAGAACTTGGTTAGGAAATTTTAAATATTCCCAAGAGGTGCAAACAATTGGCTGAGTTGCAACAGGCACAAACTGAGTGAGGACTTGAGGTAGAATCTATTTTTAAAGATCTTTACCTAGGGCCCATACTGTTCTGCATTCAGCACAAATTTCAATACAGGCACAAGTTAATGAGACAAGTAAGGCAGAGCTCAGAATCTACTTGGACATTGCAGTTTTACTGTCTTGATAAATTACTTACCCACTCCTGCAACCTAGCCTACAAGCAGTTAAAACAAATGTGAGCTTAAAATTGTTTCTGATGCTTACCTTTGTTTCAAGGCTGGTATTTCTGTGGGTTCTGGCTCAAGAATTTCATAGGCCAAGTTCACATCCTCTGTTTCTCTAAGCAATTTATATATGGGCTCAATTTGTTCATTAAACCTTGCCAAAAGTGTGCGTGCATCTTTTTTAGGCATTGCTGATTCATCTTCTTCTACCTCTGCATTGCAAAAAGTACAGTGGAAAGTTCCTACAGAGAAAACAAAAAGTATTAGGTCAGGGAAGCAAAATCCTCAACAGCAAAGAATTTCTAGTTCTGTTCTTCCTCTAACATGCGGTTATCGAAACTTTCAAATATATGAAAAAGTTGAAAAAAGTTATAGTGAACATACATGTGCCTAACATCTAAACCCACAATTGACAATTTGTTACATTTGATATTTTACACATCCATTCAGCTCTTCATCCACCACTTTTGCACTTCAAAGTTATTTTTCTCCTAAAAACTGTAGAAAAAAGTTTTTAATTACAACAGTATTTTAAATATTTTTACTTAACTTTCACACCAAATTCTCTACAATTCACTATGGAAACTGCTACTCTCTACAAACAGCTTTCTCCTTGTAATTACTTGGGTAATTATGGTAGTCTACATTATAAAGAAAATCAAATAAATACCTAAAGCCCAGTGTCTGGCCATCCCTTAGATTGTCA